TCAGGAGTGGCACCTGAAGTCCCACTGTAGTTTTTCCTACTTGGAGCCTGGTTGTTAAAGTTTGAGATTTTTCTSTCTCTTATTCTGTGTTGAGGCACCCATGGTCACTGTTACTCGGGTGAGTTGTATGTGTTGCTCATCAGCAGGGTCTCTACTCTGTGAGCTTGAAGTGCCTCAATTGCTTCCTAGCTCCTCTTAGAGAAAGGGGAGCAAGGAYCAGCAATGTTAATAATAAAAAAGTTCTGAAAATAATTGTGCAGTGTCTACTTTGACATCTCTAACACTAACTACCACCTGTAAATGAATGGTGGGGTCAGCATCTAATGTCAGCACCAACAAAACAGTCATGAACTAGATCAGACATTAACCAGAAGGTGTCTGCAATGCCATACACTGTACTAAGAATCACAAAAAAATGGAGTAGGAATTACATTAACTATATGATTATATTGGATGGTGGAATTATTTCCTTAAGTGAAGAGAAGATATGGAAAGAGAAAGTTAGAAATATTTAAAAAGTGAAGAGATGCAGGAGATAGGTAGCAGATGATAGCTGTAAAGACAGAAGAGTAAAAAATAACCAAAAGTAATCATATAAAGAAAKAAGGAGGAAAATTTGGTTGTCAGTGGGGAAAGAGAGTGAAGAAAGATTAATAAGAGGACCAAAAACCAAGGTACAAACAAACAAAAGATCAAAACAAAACAAACCCACATAAAATTTTACCTCACCAAAGTCAAACCAAGACTTAAGTTAAGGTCAGCCTCCCCTCAGTTCCAAATTCCCCCAAGTTGATTTTATTGCCATGTGTTCCTCTCTCTTCCTGTGCTTCCCTACCCCTCTGCAGTGGATAGATTTGCACATCTTTAGCATATTACTTCTTACATTATGTYCAGAGTTTCTGACTTTGTATTCCTGATTATTTGCTGTCCAATGTTGAATTTCAGTGAATTCCCTTAGTAGACCACCATGTGGGGAACRATCTTCCTGCTGTTTAAATTTTGAGCTGAGGAACTGCTGGGGAGTACACCCTTCCTCTAATCCACAAATCTCAGTTTGTCTTTTTCTTAATTCAGTGTTCACATAAGTGCTATAAATCTTTGACCATTTTCCAGAGTCTTGACAAAATTGGTTCTGATGGTGTTGGGTGTTAATTTTTATTTTGTTCTGTTTCTACAAAGGGACAGAAGTTTGGAGSTGCCTACTCACCATTTTGCTGCTGTCACTCCACCAGCTGCATCATGTGGGATAAGTCACACACTTTCTGTAATTATTTCCTCCTTAGGAAAATAGCACTTAGTCAAAGTAACACTAGTACAAAAATGTCATAGGGTTGTTATAAAAATAAAATGAGAATGTCTAAGACTTATACAAAATATAATTCATACACAAAGTTATTTTAGGTAATACTTTGTAAGCCACATCACAGTTACATCACTTTTAMGATGCTAGAGGATTTTTTTAAATGGTGGGCAAAAATATTTAATTTTACATACTCATTTTTCTTGAGTTTCATTTTCACCTAAAATATACTTATCTTTTACCAGCCTGAGTAGTCCTCTAGCATTAGWAAGAGAAAAATGACTAGTGTTATTTCAACATTTTATTGAACTTTTCATATTACACAATTTGCTACCAAAAACATTTAAAATGCCAATCAGACAAAAACAAATTAAAAAGAAAAGACACAGACAAAACACCTCTTTCTAGATGAGGTAATAATGCATAAGGTTCATTGTCAAATTACAAGTTTTTATTACACTGCTACACAACTTATTAGTATATCAGTGATACTCAAAGGCTCCAAAAAAAAGACATTACACATTACATTTAATTTATAATGGGTGAGAGGAGAGAGAGCGAGATTATGTACAACTACTTGAAAGAGAAAGCAGAAATGCCAACATTAAACATTATTCCAATTCTTGTGCAAGGGATTTTATTTGCTTAGATAAGTTTTGAAAATAAATTCAAACTTGGATAACTTTTCGATACCTGGCAGTCTTTTCTGTTCCATAAGATGGATAAGAACACTGAGGAAAAACACCCTCCACAATCTCGGTTGACAAATCAATTTATCAAATCAGCATCTTCTTTATTTTCTGAACAGATATATAATTGGATAGAAATATTTAAATATTTATGCCCAATTAATAAAGTGAATACTTTGTGCAGTTACAACTAAGCCAGAGCTGAAACCAGTTATGAACAGTCAGGCACATCTGCACAAGTGAGCAGGATCTCTTACCCTTCTAGTTTTGTTTCTAAAAGCACTGACTAAAGTATCTAATAGTCCATTCATAACCCTTTGCAAATTAGCTTGCTTTTACTATTTTATAATATCAGTGCTAAAGTATGGAAGCTTGACTAAAACTTCATTAATTTAGGATTTTTTAAGGGCCTATAAAATTGAGGTTATTAAGAAGGTCTATATATACAACTTAGCAAATAAATTCATAAATTCACAAAATGGGTTAATCTTTACCAGGTTTTAATTTTCCACTTTCAGTCTATTTTACTCAAATTAAGAAATCCTGCAATGTAAGGGAAGCATATCATATCACAAGCTCCATGGCCAAAATCCGGCTTATAATAAGAGGACCAGTGGGCTTGCAGAACTACCTAATAGAATCCTATCCATGATGCTACTGGTAATATTGAATTTAATAACATAATTTGRTCTATTAAGAAATGTATGCTATGGAGATTAGATTTTGGCACCCATATTTAAAATAGCAAATTTTAAAAGGGGCAGAGTTTATCTGACAGTTCTTTTATAAATTCACTGAAAAACACTTGATCAGTTAAATGCTTATTTCCACCCCCCCCACACTCCCCATAGTATTGGGGATTGAACCCAGGAATGCTCTACCACTAAACTACATCCCTAGTCCCTTCTACTTTTCATTTTAAGACAAGGTCTCATTGTTTCCCACGCTGTCCTCAAATCTGTAAGTCTCCTGAGTAACTGGGATTATAGGTGTGTACGTACCACTATGCCTGTCAGACTGTTTGGTTTTTAAAGATTATATTTCAACTAATTTGGAAAAGACAGTAAAACATAATTAATATTTTATTTAACACTATTCCATTTTAGTTTTCATGTTAATTTGCATTCTTTCTTCAAACAGAAAAAAGAAATGTGTGCAGTTTGGTCATCAGCCATGACTCAATAATGAAATAAATGTATAACTGCATAATCATGCAAACAAAATCAATATATATAACTGCATAATCATGCTAACATTCAATAAATCTTGAAATACCTGATTTTTAGCTAGGTGAAGGATTCTACAGACTTTCACTAGTAGTAATACTTGATTCCCATTATATTCTGTCCTAGAAAATTTCTGAAAATTGAAATTTTCTGATTTATCTTCTTTGATACCACTTATTTTAATAAAATGAGAGGTTCAGGAAGCTGAATATATTATAAATATATAAAACATTATTTAGCATTTCAAAAGCAATAAAAACAATTTAAATCCCAAATTAAATAGAAAATGTGACCAATGGGGTTTACTTTCCCTCTCAGTGGAATTTAAAAATGGAAAACTTGATGTTATTCAGTAAACATACACACACTAGTAAAGAGTCGCTACTTGTACACTGTTTCACATACCTGGGTATCCTTTTTGTGTRTTCCAAAATTATTCATAACCATCTCTGTGACATTTTAAAAATAACATGAATCTGTTTGTATGCAATCTAGGTTGGACAACATCCAAAGTCACTGCACTTTAGAGTGYTACATGGTTCATAGAAAAAAGGTGACCATTCTTGTTTAGAAATGAAACTTTAAAATGCTTAATAGTGGATTAGTCAAATGCATATTATTTGATACTACAGAGTGTAATTCACCAAATTAAATTTAGAAAGACTTTTAAAAATTAAACTGATTAACAATTTTTTTCTGTTACTTATTTGTTGAAATGTAAAATAAAACACAAGGACAAATTTCCTTTAAGGTTTGTATATTTTTCTTCAGTATTCATCCAAACAAGTTTAAATAAAAAGGGATAAGCATATCTTACATTTTTCTTTAAATGTATTGTTTGGAGAATGAAACTTTTTTAAAACTGAAAGATAAAAATTGATGTAATTAATTAATGATGACTATATGATAGGCAAGAGGCACAAATTCCCAGGTAAATTTTAATTTTGCTTAAGATAAGTCATTCAGAAATGAAAGTTATGAGGTTCCTTTTGAGTACACAATTTGTAAATATGGAAGGAATAATAGTTGTCATGATTATTTCTTAAAAGTTGCCCTAAAAATAGCCTGACAATTCACAAAACTAGCCAAGTAAACCAAAYTTTATAAACATATGATGAATTTTAAGTTGCTGGCACTGAAACACTGGGTTTGGATGTGGACAAGTGTGCTATGTTTGATTAAAATCTTCTGGGTACCTTGGCTTTGATGTTTTACTGATATTAAAGCAGAAAGTGTATTTTATGCAATAAGCTGACCTATGAGTAGAAAATTTTGTAGAGATGAAGGAAATTCCAAGTTCTATATGTGTACAGAAATGGCTTTATATATTATATACAGCCACTAAAATAGTTACATAGGGAAAATATGATTTAAAACCCTTTAACTCCTGCTTACAGATAGTCTTATTCAATGATGACATAATTTATTTGTTTAAAGGTACAACCTTCTGATATTATACACTGTATTAGGACAATATATCAATATCAATCTAGAAGGAAAAATCAACCTGTAACAAATATTAAGGTCAGATAGGATAGATCCGACTCAATAAAATTTCACTTTACATATTTGAAGATAAATTTTTGCTTTTGCCCAGTATCATTTTTGCTTCAGCATGAGTGTTAAACCAGCTAAAATTTCATTCTTACAAGTGTCATTTTTATTAAGTTTTCAAGTTTCAATAGTTTTGATCCAAAATATATACCTATGCCTTAAAACAAAACAAAACAAACAAATACAAAACACAAAAGTGTCAATATAATCARCATGGGCTTTTTCTACCAGTTTCATTTTCCAGTCCATTTTCCCCCCAGTATCTCACTTTTATCCTTCATAATTTCATAGCAAATTATCCAGATTGGGTCTTTTATACTAACCAGTGATAGAACCTAAATCTCAAATGCTATTTTGAAGAAGTGTTGAGTAAATAATTTTGGTAATCTGTAAGACAGCTGCATGCAGTGTGTACTGTATTATAACAGCACCAAACCCTTTATAAAAGCCAAGCATTCCTTCCTCCTGCTTTATGGTATTGATACAGTCTCTCATTCCCTCATACTGTGTATTAATTGGAAGTACTTCGTAGCCAAGGTCTGTATTGTCAATTATCGTGCGTGTTCCTTGAATGTGAAGGCGGTGTAAAACTGTTTCCAATGGGTAAAGTATAATGTCAGAGCAAAGACTGGCAGCAAAATTAGCAATAAGTTCTGGAAAATAAGCATCCAACATACTCTGCACAGGGCTAGTGCTCTCAGCTAAGTGGTTATTGTAAGTCTTTCTCTTTAGAATTAGCAGGACAAACTTCTGAATGATCGAGCTGATGATGTAATGAAGAACTCCATGCAGCACCGTAGGGAAGACCAGGGAAAGAAGTGGAAGGAGTCGTTTGCTATGAGGCACTCCCAAACCTATCACTCTTCCAATTCCTTCTTTTACACATTCCAAAATCCCAGTGTTATCTCGAATTATCTCACTCTGAAATAAAAATGATGAAATAAGTTAAAACTTAATATTTGCTTATTTTCCTACAAAAAAGGGATGCTTCCTAGGTTCCTTTTAAATTAATATACTGACTAAAAAAAGAAGGAATCAATGGTCTGCAGACTTTAAATGTTATCTGGGCATTAGATTCTTTTTTCAAACGAAATCTCACAGCAATGAAGTTGGGAACTATTCACTGGGGAAGGGAGACTGGGGGAGATAGATGCACACATCTGGTTGCTTCAATCTCAAACGGCTCCTCAGCACTCACTCAGAAGCAACAACTACTACTTATCTGCTTATGGAGGCAATATAGGGCTCAGGAGTCCTTAAACATGGGATTAAATCCTACCTTCATTACTTACTGGTTATAAGCATTGTCCAGATACTTAACTACTCCTAGGTGTTAGTTTACCAAAGTACAAATCAGTACTACCTACCTTTTATGCAGAGTTGTCATAAATGAAAGACCTGGTACCAAGTAAGCACTCAATAAATATTAGTCTTAACTAAAATTTGGGAAATAAGATAAGCTTGTGATATAAATTATAGAGTTATAAAGAAGCAGAAAAGAAACAGCTAAAAGGATAACTTGTTTGCAGCAATGACTATAGAACTGTACAAGATGAAGTTAAAAGGCAGACAAGGGCTATATAATGCTTTATAGACTACTATATAGATTTGAGCTTCTAGTAAGATGGGAGATAACTGCTTAGTTTTAAGCAGAACATAAATATAATTTAGGTTTTAAAATAATACTGTCGAAGGAAGAACAGTTTAAAAGTTATTATAACCATCCAGCAAAGAAATGAGGGTGGATTGGATTAGGAGGTAACAATGGAAGTAGGGCAGTTCAATTGTGGTTTTAAAATTATACGCAACAGGGGCTGGGATTGTGGCTCAGCAGCAAAGCACTGGCCTTGCATTTATGAGATACTGGGTTTGATCCTCAGCACCATATGAAAATAAATAAAATAAAGGTATTGTGTCCATCTACAACTAAACAAAAAGGTTTTTTTTTTTAACTACAGGCAACAGGAAATATTGGTTGTATTTGGTATATGAAAGATWAGAGTCAAAGATTACCAAGGCTCTTGGCCAGAGGTACTGGAGGAATAGCATTATCTTTTACTGAACTGAACTGAGAAATGCTGCTGGTAGAAACTTGGGGGAGGAAAACAAGAATTCAGAAATGTTATGCATCAAAATGGAAAAAGGTTTACAAGAAAAAGGTCCAAGTTGAACATACAGATGTGGGAGTCCTTGGTAAATAGATGATATTTAAATCCATGAGAATAAAATTAGCTCACCTAATCTACTAGTCTATTGTTATCCCATTCCTAACCTTGGCTCCCTTCACACTCGAGTATATATTTTTTAAAATATATTTTTAGATGTTGATGAACCTTTATTTTATTCATTTATTTATATGCAGTGCTGAAAATCAACCCAGTGTCTAGCACTTGCTAGGCAAGTGCTCTACCATTGAGCCACAACCGCAGGCCTTATTTTTAAGACAACAGCAAAAGAGATCCTAATAAAGACTTGTTGGATCACATCACTGTTSTGCTCAAACCTACCATTTCTCTTTAAGTAAATGCCAAATTATTACAATGAACTACAATGTCCTGTATGATCATATCCCCTCTAACCACTCAAGACATAATTCCTGCTCTCCCTGCTTGTTTAGATAGCAGCAATCATACTGGCCTCCTTTCTACTCCTCAAATGCATTCAAGTCCACTTGAATGTCTTTGCACTTGCTTTTCCTCTGYTCAGAATGTTTTGCAAAACATCTATGTTTTTCTCAGCCTTAGACATTTACTCAAATTTAATCTTCTCAGTGACACGTTCACTGACCTTAGAAACTATTAAAAGTCAACCTACCCAGTACACATTCTATCTGCTAAACTTGCTTTATTTTTGCTTTAACACTTAGCCCCATCCACTATAGTTTATATGCATATTATTTATGTCTGTCTTCCCAACAAGCATATAAGTGCTATAAGAGCAGATTATTTATGTCTTATTTTATTTGCTATTGTCTCCTAGAGTCTACTATAGAATCTAATAGGGGCTGGCACTCAATAAATATTGGATGAAATTTTTTTTAATATTTATTTTTTAGTTTTCGGCGGTCACAACATCTTTGTTTGTATGTAGTGCTGAGGATCGAATCCGGGCTGCACGCATGCCAGGCGAGCACGCTACTGCTGAGCCACAACCCCAGTCCCTTGGATGAATTTTTTAAAAAAAGTTTAGCACTTAAGACGAAAAGGTAAAGTCAATAAAAATCCTAATTTAACACTATGCTGAGAAGTCCGAAATTGATCTTGGTGAGTTGAGTCAATATAGATCCTTAATTAGCAGAAGGATATAAGTATTGCAACTTTAAAACACTAATCTTTCATATGAACATAAAAGGACTTTTAAAATGCAGAGAACTAGAATAAGAATTCTTAATGAAGATATGGATAACAACTGCTTTCAGAAGAYATGGATAACAACTGCTTTCAGTAGGTTCTCTTCAAGAGACTTATACATTTTTCAAGGAAAACAATGTTCCCAAAGGCAAAGAACCATTAAGTTTTAAGTTGGAAGAAAGAATGTACTGTAATAAGTTAGATATGTAGTAAAGGAGAGATGACAATGATGGTATATTGTGGGAAGAAAAGGGCAAATCTTAGCTACTTGTTGATATATTAAAGTAGAAAGGCATGACGACTGATTACTTATGCAGGATGAAAGAAACATATAAACAAAAACGTTTCCCTAAAACTCAAGTTTTGAGTTAGGGTGAAATTACAAAGTCCCATTGATAGAAAGGGAGAAGAGTTGAATGATAAGATTGTATTTATGAGTTGATTTTGAGATGCAGGTTAAAGTTAAAATGACTAACATGAATGAACAAGCTCTCTTAGGATAATGAGTGTAGGGTAAAAAACAAAAAAGCATCAAAGACAACTTGAAATAAGACTATAGAAACAATAGAAGATACTAAAAGAAYGATTCTAGAAAAGCAGATAAAAAGAGTCAAAAGGGGAGCAACAAGTGGACATGGAGAAGAAATCACAAGGGGTAGAGGAGGATATGGGGTTAAAAAAACACAAGAAAAACTATCATATTGTGAGCTGGCCATTTAATTTTTAAAATTCAGTTATTAAAATATGATTCCCACTTTAATGGATGAGAAGATTAAGATTTAAAAAGGTAAAAAAATTTTCTAAAGTCACAGACCTAATTTAAGTAGAATAGTGTGATTCTAACATGAGTCTGTTCCAAGTTAAAACTTGTTTTCCCAAAATATATTTTATGGCTTAGTTGTTTTACTTAAATAATTAACTTCTGGCTATTGTGAGGATATCTTTATAAACTCTACAGATTTTCTCATTTATCTGAAAGGTTATGCCATTTATTCAATACAGTGCCAAATGCAAGAGGAAATGGAAATATGCTTGGGTTACAAGGTGTTTATTTCAGTTAGGTGGAGTTAGTTTTAACAAAAGCAAACATCAAACATTAACTACTTTGTCAGAAAAGAAACCAAGAGGAAAGGCTTATCCAGTAGGAGTTTTATGGAGAGGAGGCATTCATACATACTGAGGGAAAAAAATATGCTAGAGGGCCAGATGTTGGAAATAGAAGATAAGTGTTGAAAGAGTTGTATTTTATGTAAAAGTGAAGTTAAGACTAACTTCATCTTACCTAGTAGGGAAGGCATAGTGAAAGTGTATGACATTTAATTCAATGTACTCTAAGCGCCACCATGTGGTTGGAAATAGTAAAACAAGCAAGGAGAACAAAATGTTAGAAAATTAYTTAAGCTTTGTAGTACCTATCACACCAACAGTATTAAATGTTTCTTAAAAGCCATATTTAAAAAGAAATGCTATTAGTAAACTACTTATGGAGACCACCTTATCACTGTTAAGGTTATTGTTCATTATTCTTATGCTCAGATAACATGCTGCCTTTTGATAAACTGTAACTATCTTGAGTTGTACATAGGGCTTAAAATTTACAGAATTTTTGTATTCAGAGCAAATTATGGGTTGAGTTTTTAAATGTATGAATAATTATCATAGCTAGCTGCCTATGGAAGGAAGAAAAATAATTAAAACTAGAAGCAGACCTAAGTTTGTAATGGAAATACACTTAGGATTATGTGATACATGTGTGGTATCTGTGAATAAATAATTTTTAAAGGATACCATCTTAATTTTTTTTGCTAAACAATCATACACAATATATTTAGTATTCCCAAAATATTTAATAAAAATGACAATATGAGAATAGCTCACCTGTACAGTTTCAATTAAACTTGCTGAATAAAAAGGCATTGCCACCATATAAGTTAGGCTGTAGAAATTAAAACAAATTAATCAGYGTACTGAAACAAGACATTTATACTAAAATTTTAAATAACTACTTTAACATACCAGCTAATTTATATTTAAAGTTTTCAACTATTAATTCTTTTGGCCTAAAAATATTAACTTCAGAAACCTGTTACACGATGCTTTATTCAACAGAAATGAAAAAAAGGTATCAATAACAACAAGGACAGCCTGCAAAGAAAACATATTTTATTTTAAACCAATAAAATATAGGCTCATTTATGATTTAGTTTTTGGACCTTATAAATCTGATACTTAAAATTTAGGATGAGGGCTCCATTCCATGGCTTGCCTTTTCAGTGACAGTAAACAGTATACCTTTTTGTTATATCCTATTATCATTATCTATTATCTATCCCCAGATTTCCCATTCAGCAGAGCTAAGCTAGCCTTTGATGGTGAGTGAAGTCCCCTTTTAGTATTAAAAAGCAATATTGTACAGCTTTGCAAAGTTGTTACCTTTCACCAGTATTTAATCTTAAATATTATTACAACTTTGCAAGCCTGCAAAATATAGTTATCTAAAATCATATCAAAGTGGGACTTACCTAACCCTTATGGGCCAGGTCCTGGTAAGTAGTGGTTTTCAAGGTGAATGGAACAGCACTAAGTAATAATGTGCTGGAATGTCCCATAGAGGGAGCCAGCAAGCTGGGGAATTTCCAATTCACAATCTTCAAAAAAAATTAAAAAGTGAAGAGTAAAATTCTAATCTACAAAAATGATTACTGCTGTAAAATTACCAAGTGCCTTTAGGACTACATTTCAATGTCACTAAAGATTTTGAGTTTGCTCATCATCATCACTATACACATCAATTTTTATCTTCTGCTTAACAATAAAATACAGGTTGAATACCCCTTGTCAGAAGTGCTTAAGATCAGAAATGTTTCAGATTTTGAATATTTTTCAGATTTTGTGTATTTGCATATACATAAGAAATATCTCAAAGATGGGACCCACGTCTAAACACAAAATTAATTTATGTTTTATATACACCTTATAACCATATATGACTTTTTTTTTTTTTTTTTTTTTTTTTAGTGTGCCTGCATTTTGACTGTGAGCTGTCACATGAGATCAGGTATAGAATAATTCATGACATTTGGGGTGTCATAATGGTGCTCAAAAATTTCAGATAATGAAGCATTTCAGACTTCAGATATTTTAATTAGGGATGCTCAACCTGTAATATTTTTCTTACAAATTTGGGTTAAACAAATTAAAGGTCTTTGCTAACTTCCTAGGAACAAGAGAAAAATTAGGCTGTGATTCTAGCCTGGCAAATTAGTAAGTACTATTTTATTAAAGATCACATGTACGTCAAGATTTTATTCCTAAACTCTATATTACTTATTCTTTGATSATCTACTCCCATAAAGATTTCAATTCTCCAATTTCCTTTGCYACATTTATTAAAAATATCTTTCAGCTCTAACACTATAAACATTAATGGAAATTTTCAAGAAAAATTCCATTTTCAATACTTACGATTTCAGTAGAAGGTGTTCACCTATTTGTTTGGGATTCCATTTATGTGAAATCTCCCTAAAAAGTAAAAATAAATTTAAATAAAACAAAAGCTATGTTTTTACAATATTTGATTTAGCCTAATTTTCAAAAGGCAATTAATTTCTAATTTTTTTTAATCTGTAAAAGAAATATATCCTAATAAGATTTTTCTTTCTGAAAAAGACTTAAAATAATTGTGATGGTTCAAAAATAGAAAACATGCAAAGCGTTTCTGATGTGCTGACAGAGGAGAAAAGGTATAACTGGCTACCAAAATGAACATATTGAGAAACTAAAGAAAAAATGAAAATAATAGGTTTTATAAAAGACGGAATATAAGAAATGGGAAGGGAAACAAGGAACAGAAAAAGGAAGGAAATAAATTTTAAAAAGAAATAAAAGTAACTAATGCAGGATGACACATGACATTCTGCACAGCACCTAATTTCTATTATTACAATGACATTAGTTTTGTGACTATTACTAGGTTCCACTATCTTTTTGCACACCTACTATGTTAGGTGCTACACAAAGTGCTCTGCATGAATCCTTTCTAATCCTCACTATTATCTCCATTGACTATATGAGGAAAAAGAATCAGAGAGGGTTTATAACTTAGCAACTGGTTAGTATGGAACTAGCTTCTAAACCCTAGTCTCTATGACATGATAAGTCTGTACTGTCTGCATCAACTTCCTCTCATCTCACTTCACATAGGAGGAATCCAGTGAGGTWAGCAGACACATGGTTCTATCTATTTTACTGATTAGAAAAATTAAAGACATGATCACAAGAGATTGGTCATATGTCAGATCTGGAACCGATACCTAGGACTATGGTGCTTCCTGCTATTCTGGATACCTTTGGAAACCAGAGGGGAGTAGGGAGAAAGAAAAGAAAGCTAAATTAGAATAGAACAGAAGGGGAAAATGGGTGAAAGTTCTATTAAAAGAAAGGTAAAAAAGGAGAGAAATCACAGAGAATAAGTGAGAAGGTAAATAAGATAACAGAAAAATAGAAAATTCAGATAGAGAAGATACAAAAGGGAAGAACAGAAAAATAGGTGAGGGGGGAGAATAAATGATAGAAAGAAGTATATAGATGAGACTTGCTGCTACAAGGAACTGGTATCATTCTACCATGACCATCAAGAATCTAGAAAAATGCCTTCTATTTGAAATGGATAAATAGAAAAAATTTATGGAGGGAAAGGAATCAACATATTAAAAAGACAAAGAGGGCTGGGGATGTGGCTCAAGCGGTAGCGCGCTCGCCTGGCATGCGTGCGGCCCGGGTTCGATCCTCAGCACCACATACAAACAAAGATGTTGTGTCTACCGAGAACTAAAAAATAAATATTAAAAAATTCTCTCTCTCTCTCTCTCTCTCCCACTCTCTCTTAAAAAAAAAAAAAAGACAAAGAAAGTTAAAAAGGTAAGTGCTTACCTAAATTAAAAAGGTAAGCACTTACTAAAAAGGTAAGTGCTCTAAAAACAAACAGTACAATTACAGCATGAGTAGTATCACACTTTTTCACAATTTTCTGAGATTAGAATGTCTGCAGAGACTTTTAGACAACAAGATAACCAACACTAATTTCTAAAACCTCAGAGAAACCTCTGGGTCAAACACTGATCAAATCAATACTGCRATACTTATTTGCCCTGATAAACATAGGAAACATAGCTAAAAGAATATTCAATGATTTAGTTACAAAATATAAAACCTGGATTAGGCCTCCCAACTAACTGACAATTACTTTATTACTACAAAACAAAATATGCTCCTTGCTCTATAAACAATCTTGATGCTGTTATTACTGTTATGGACTCAAAGTATTACCACAGGTTATTTATTATAATGTTGATTTTAGGTATGAAACTCATAAACACCGTGTACAGATAGATCTGTGACTTTGTCTCTGTAAAGACTGGACTATTTCTTTTAAATACAATGTAATTATTACTGTTCTTAAGATTATTAAAGTAAATGAGAGGAACAGGATATTTAGGACTCAATATTAAAAGAAAAAAAAACTGAGACTCTTCCTTATATGTTTCCTATTAGTTTATAAAATGAATAAAACTTATTGATCTAGAAATTTAAATTAGCATATTTAAGTGTTTTAGGCAAAAGGGTAAACAAAAAYTTTATGACCACATTACAGAGAAAAACAGATCTCTAGTACATACAAAGTCACTAAGCTTATAGTTCCTCAGTAGCATTACTTTTTAAAGACAATTATCTAGGATCATCAATKATCTCTTTATCTACTACCAGACCCTTCTCAATCCTCAGGGAACCTTCCCCTAGTTGGAATGAGAAGTTAGACTATGTGTTGTTCTATCCTAAAGGATCATTCATTTTATTTACATTAAGCCTTTTTAATTTCATTATTGCAAAACATGTATATGTTAACTTACTATTTTCACACAAAATCTGCCCTTGCAAATGGGCATCAAATTAAAATTTATCAGACTAGTTACTTTATCTCTCTCTCTCTCTCTCTCTCTATATATATATATATATATATATACATATATATATATATATGTATTGAGTACACATAGGAATGTATATATATATGTGTGTGTGTGTGTGTGTGTGTGTATATGTACTCAATACATAAAAGAGAATTCTAAAATAACTAGAATCTAGAATCTTAGTAGACTTAAATTTTTATATGGTTAAATACCTGTTCTCTTCAAAAGAAAACAAAGTGTTTCTTCAACCCAATCCAAACCCCTCGTCTTCCAATTATCCCTTTTCATCTCTTCACTTTCTAAATTTGTTATTTCMTTGTCCTACCTAACTTCACACTCACCTTTAAAAACCACTCCAAATTAGTTTCTACCCTATTATCTTACAAAAGCAGTTCTTGTCAAGGTTCAATAACCTTCGAGGCACTAAAACTAATGATTGTTTTCAGGTCTGTACCTTAATCTGACATTTCAGAAGTGATGAGGTAAACATGTTCCTCTGTTATCCTTAAAGCACTCTTTGCCTGTCATCATTTGGTTTCTATCCCTTTTTCTCTTTAAAGGATATCTTTCTTAACACAGCCACCTATTACTGGAGTTCCTAAAGGGTTATGCCCTCTGTTTTTCTCACTCCATTTGTTGTACTAGGCACTCTCCCCAAGATTATAGCTTCAAAGGCTACCAAATTTATTTACCTTCAGTTACAACTTCACCACTGTATGCCAGCCTTATTAACACTGCCTACTGAAAATTCTACCTGGACCTAAAAATGAACTGAACTTGAGCAAAATTGTATTTATATTTTTCTTTCAGATTTTTACTCTTAGTGTTCCTACGTGAGAACCATTAATCAGAAAGGAATCAACTGAATTTAAGGAAGATTTCATATTTAAAAAGTGAATTCAGAGGAATTATTGGGAGTAAGCTGCAAGATGTTTATGTTTGCAACCACAAATGTGAGATGAATCAAAGTTAAGTTGGAGTTTGACTTGTGATTTGTGAGAAACTGACCTATACATGTAAACCTGGTTACAGAAACTCCCCACCTCATGTTAATTATAAGAGAAAAACATATGTAAATAAAATGAATGATCCTTTAGAACAGAACAACATATAGTCTAACTACTCATTCCAACTAGGGGAGGTTCCAACAGGATTGAGAGGGGTCTGGTAGTAGATAAAGAGATCACTGATGATCCTAGGTTAATTGTCTTAAAAAAAAAGTAATGCTACCGAGGAACTATAAACTTGGTGACTTTGTATATACTAGAGATCTGTTTTCTCTGTGATGTGACCATAAACAGTATTTAAAGAAAAAGAGACCCTAAAAACTAGTGAATTCCTACTGTCACATCTGTTCTAATAACCATGTATATTTAAGAAACCTTAGTCTAGGAGACTCATAGCTCATCCTTCTCATGTGGTAACTTCTATTAATTGCTCTAAGTTATTTGCTTTGCTGACTGTTTTTGTCACAACCCTGCTTTTCCCCAAGAAAGATCAAGCCCGTAAGGAGGAAGAGGAGAAATAAAAAATGTTTACATACTTCAGAAAATAGTTTCTCTCATGACATCCAGTTGGTTATGCAAACCAAAATTCTAGAAGATATCCTTAATATTGCCTTTTTTTTCATCAACCATTCTTTAACCATCAACAAGGTCCATCAATTTTACCTGAGTATCTTTCAAAACTGTCCACTTAATGTCCATCTCAAAAAATACCAACCTGGTCCTAGATAATATAATTCGTCACCCTGATTACTGTTATAGCATACTAAAATGTCTCCTTTTATTCACTTTGGTYCTTCTACAATCTTATAGTCTACAGCTCTGATGATTCTTTGAAAACATAAATCTGAAGTCACTGACCTTACTCTTTAGTAGTTTTATTTATATATGTATTTATTTATTTATTTAAAAAAACATTTATTTTTTAGTTGTAGTTGGACACAATACCTTTACTTATTTATTTTTATGTGGTGCTGAGGATCAAACCCAGGGCCTCTCACGTGCTAGGCAAGCACTCTACTACTGAGCCAAAACCCCAGCCCAACTCTTCAGTATTCTTAAAGTCACTTACAAAGCCATGCATGTTCTGGCTCCCACCTACTTCTGCAGTGTTCTCTCATACCACTCTCTACCTTGCCCTTTGGCCTCCAGCCACATGAATCTTCTCTCAATTACCAGAATTCTCCATGCTTCTCACTGCCACAGCATTTTTAGACAAACTGGTCTGTCTCTCGTAGGAGAGAGTTCAGAGTTCTTCATAAGTGTAAAGCTGTTTCTAACCTATTCTCACAGACCCACACCCTCTTTCCTCCAGAGAACAAATTTCAATTTATAATAATGTATTTGATTAGTGTGACTATTTTACTTAATACATGTTCTTATACTGGATACTGAGTTCAGTAAAAGGTACCTTTGGTTTCTTTTCCTCATTGTCAATCTGATTTCTAGAACAGAACTTGGCACACAGTAGGCACTAAGAATTATTAGGTAAATAAATAAATGAATTAATAGTGGAATTTTCAACAAAATTTCTAGGTAGAACAATACATGAAAGGTAACTTTTCATGTCTTCTTTAGTAAGATTCAAAATGATGAAAATACATTCTCATACAACTGACAGGTCTATATATTTACTGACTAGGAAAAATGACAAAATTTTATAAAATTCTATGCTTCCCCATTTCCATTTCTCTTTTTCCTTCCCTTTAACCTGAAGTCARTGTGACTTTTCACCTCAGCTTTAGAGAAGCAGCATTACTTGCCTAAGGTCTTAGAAGTAAAATGTGAGGCTGCCAGGACCTAAACCAATAGCTCTCTGACTGCAAGGGCTGATTTTCCTACTTTAGTAAGTTGAACTTCCTGTGTTTCATTAAATTTTTATAGAATTTTGTGTCTATGAGAGAACCTCAAGAATATTTGCCTACAAGAACTTACTTCTGAACTCATCTTGTGATATAAAAAGCAATTAAGGTGAACATGGTTAGTCAAAAGCAGACACTCAGTCTTTTAAGTATGAGACAAGAAAACCTTTAGGTGGCCAAATCTTTCTAACCTTTTTAATCTTTGTTTTGTCCCTAACCTTTTAGCAAAGCTGTATGAAAGAACTTCAAGATTATGATGTTCATTGAAAGTAATCACATTGGGAAAAAGCCTGATATCAGTTTCTATCATTTCCTTTCCTACAAAGATTAAATCCAAARTCTGTGATATACTAGTGGCTATGCATTAAATTGCCTTACATTCTTGACAATCCAAAAAATTTAACCTAAGGGCTAACTTTGGATTAATGAGCCTTTTGAAACCTTTAATGCCAAGGATGGACTGATGTAGCATTAGAGGTRTTCTGTATGAGTATGCACCTAACAAATTTATGATTTCAAACATCACCTGTTGACATTCCTTTCATATATTCTTCATAAGATTCCCTGGTTACCCATTACTGAGAGTGTTCAACTGTACATTACTATTCTCATGCTTTTTTTTAACCATGACTCCAATGCTTATCTTTCTTTCACCAATAATCTCGGAACTGGTTTCATAAAGAGACCCYGCACATGTCCCTAATTTCTTTAATCCTCTATTATCTCTCATCACATACAACCACACACATGAGCATAATACACATATACACACACATAAATTGCTTGAGATTCTGTCTTTGGTCTACTTAATGTCATTTAGTCTACAATTTAGGTGACTTACACCCTAATTCACCTCAGGTAAACCACACCCATTCTAATGTTTCAAATGCTATTTTTATGCCACACACTTGAAGTTATGTCATCACTTCAAATTTTCTGTACAATTCGCATCCACAGGCAATCACCTATTAGATATGTTCCCCAGATGTTTTGAAAGAATCTCAAACTTTGTTTATTCAAAATTAAATTTCATATCTACTTTCCCACTCCAGTTTATTCTTAATGAATTTCCCATCTTAGTTAACACTGCCAATATAGACATCTCAATCACTGATGATTTACTCTCTCATACCTCCATTCTCAATCTAACATTAATTATCATCAATTAAACTTCAGAAATGTCCATTTAATTCATTGCTTTCTGTTTTGTYCCACAGTTCAGAACCACCTCAGTCTGGCACAAGTCTCTCTGTATYAGTCATTTTTTATACTATCACTTGAAAATAACTTTTATTATAACACATATATTAAAAAATAAATTCTTAGATTCCCAATCACATAGAGAATAAAATATTACAAGGATATAATCACACTTTAATCTAGCACCACAGTTTCCTTTCTTAATATTCTACCGCAAACACACCCAATACTCCAAGCACAGGTCATTTTTCTACTGCCCAGCTATCTAACCTCTATAGCTCTGGGCATGTGGTCACCTTTTCTTRGAATTACCTCCTTTTCTGCCAAGTCAATTCTTATTCAAAATTCAAGATCTAAATAAGATTCCAGTTATTTTTTTGAAATCCTTGCCAGTAATTCCAAGTAAAATATCCCTTAGTCTCTGAAAGGGGTTTAATTATAGCATGAATCACACAATGTACTCCAATCCAACTAAACTTGCTATTTCGAGAACGGGAATTGCTTTCATATTCATATTGTCCCTTAGTTGGCAGTTAGTTGCTGATACACAGCAGAAAGAGCTGGAAGAGATGGGCATGGTGGTGCACACCTGTAATACCAGTGGCTATGGAGGTTGAGGCAGGAGGATATCGAGTTCAAAGCTAGCCTCAGCAATGGCGAGGTACTAAGTAACTCAGTGAGACCCTGTCTCTAAGTAAAATACAAAACAGGGCTGGGGTGTGGTTTAGTGGGCATATGCTTCTGAATTCAATCCCTAGTACCCACTCCCACCCCCCAAAAAAGAAAGAGCTGGGAGATATATCTTAAGAGATATTAAAACAAGAACTTTTTTTTAATGACAAACTAATGAAAAAAGATATGATTAATAATACAATTTTATTGTCTGATTCTCAGTTACTTCACATAAGTTTTCAGCTCAAAGTACTTTCAGAAGTTTTATACTTAATTAAAATTTAATATGAAACAAATATTGAGAAAATGCCAAAAAAAAGGTACCTTGGCAAAGGTGTAAATTCACTAATTATGCCTTCTGCTCCAAGTGTGACTCCCTGTACAATAAACGTACTTCCCATTCCTTTCCATAGGGCTCTTGGTCCCTAAAATGAACAAAATTTATTGTTATTTCTGTTAATGCTTAAATAYGAAACACAAAAGGTATTTAACAAACTTGATACTAAACTTTTACTGATATTTTCTAGATAGGTATTATTCTACTAGAAATATTAGAGAACTATAACTAATTTAATTTCCATCATTCAAACATAATTTCAAACATTATTTTAATGTTTACATGGTCTATGTTTAGGCCAAGATGAACACTCCAATTAATTAAATACTCAATTATGATCAATTAATTGATTACATATCTCTAATATCCATATATTCAAGTCCCTACTAGTCCTACCAATTGGATGACTCATAGGTAACTCAAAATATATAAAACTACAAACTGGATTGTATCCATTCATACCACACTTTCTGTGCTGTATTTCTCCTCTCCCTTAGATGGTAGCTTCATCATCTTAGTGTTCAATAATTATCCAGATAACACTCTTCTCACTATTTTATCTAATAAGCCAAGTTCTGTAAATTCTACTCTTACAAATTCATGCATGCTCTTTTCTCCACCCTTAAACCATTACTTAAATGAATGACTATAACAATTTTCACTGTTTCTAGTCTTGCCCCTTTTTACAATGCCATCAGTTATATTCCTTTCTTCATATTTATATAAATGTKGTTATAGACACAGCAAAATTAAAAAGATAGCAGGAGAAAATTTTGTTTCTTTTTCATCCTAGTACCTGAGCAGCAGTTTATTACCTATCTACCAGATATTATTTATACATATTCAACTATATCTCTATGTGTATGTATGAATACAGAAATGTTTTCATTTTGTCCATTTTTAAAATTTTATTTATTCTAATTTGTGATATATGATAGCAGAATGCAATTCAATTCATATTACACATATAGAACACAATTTTTCATGTCCCTGGTTGTACACAAAGTAGAATCATACCATTCATGTCTTCATAAATGTACTTAGGGTAATGATGCCCATCTCATTCCACCATCTGTCCTACTTGCATGCACCCTCACCTCCCTTTGCCCTATCTAAAGCTTGTTCATTTTTAATAGGTAGAACTACCTTGAACCCAAAAAAATAACCCAGAGATCATTCTGTATCAGTACAAAGCTACTTTCTTATTTTTAAAGGCTAGATGGTGATTCACCAGATAAACATAATTATTTTACTGGTAACCTATTAATGGCTATTGAATAATTTCCAACCTTACCATATGCAAAGGCAAAATGACATCCTTACACATACATTTTCTATACATATCCATATACACTTATGTGAATAAAGTTTCTAGAAATTAAATTATTAAGACAAAGAACATGAACATTTTAAATTTTGATGGATACTGCCAAAAACCCAAGTTTGCTYAAAATACTTTGGTTACTAATAAAAAATCTTCAATGATATTCCTACAGATTTTAAGATCAAGTAAATCATCTCGGGCCTTCTATGATCTGGATCCTATCTACTTCCATATGCACTTTTTCATCTTACTCTGATCTCTGTTCCAAACTCATGTTGTATTGCATTAAATTCATTCCCAAATATTATAACCTCTCCTTGGCACATCTACTTATAAAATCTTTTCTCTATCCTCTGCATTCAGAAGTAGACTTATTGACAATAAGTTCAAAACTTTGAGACCCTTTCTCCAAAGTTTTTCTAAGCCATCTCCCCTGTGTTTAATCCCACTTCTGATAAGGCACCTCTCTTTTATGTTCTGATATCATCTTACATCTCCAATACATCTATTTGTATCTAATAGATGTATTAGAGGCACTGTTGGTTGGTTGTACTGGGGATTGAACCAGAGACGTTCTATCTCAGTCCTTTTTTTTTTTTTTTTTTAAATTTAACCTTTATTTATTTGTTTTTATGTGGTGCTGAGATGGAACCCAGGGCCTCACCCATGCTAGGCAAGCACTTTATCACTGAGCTATCACCCCAGCCTTTATTTTTAGGCAAAATCTTAGTAAGTTGCTGAGGCTGGCCTCAAACTTGTGATCCTCCTGCCTGAGTCTCCCAAGTAACTAGGATTACAGGTACATGCCACCATGCTTGGCTTTAATATTGCATCTTACTGTGTCATAATCTTCTGTTTGTGTTTTTGTCTCCATGACTAAATTATAATTCTCTTGATGGCAGAGACCTTAACTTATCTGCTGCTACGAAGTATTTCTGCTGAATTAACTGAAATTTTGAAGATTCAAAAAGACAACATTACTAAGCTATATCAGTTTTACTCTAATAAGAGTTACTTTCATTAACATATTAAAAATTATTCTTACATTAATGATTACCAAATACAAATAACTCTTATATACAGTTTTAATAGTATCCATACACTAATTCTCACCTGAGTTTTATTGAAGCTGTACATAATGTTGATGATTGTAAATGGTGTGAGATGATAATGCCGAGCATGGTAATTAACCTGTAAAAAAGATACTACTATTTTTTCTGTTATCATGTTGTTAAGAAATAACAAGGCCATGAAAAATACAGAGTTGCAGCATAAACATAAGTTAAATTCTAAGTTACCATAAATTACACAAAAACAAAATGACTTTTGAACAAACTTTAACCTACAATAAGAACAATATCTATGATTATATAAATATAATATGAAGATAAATGCATAATATACATAGTAAGGTGAACTATATAATGGGGTTCTTGTTTGGCACTTGTTTCCTTACTCACTAGAACTATATACAAGCATTTTTCAAACTATAGAATTGAATTTGATGGATAAACTATGAAATCAGATAAAGGGGTCAAAACAACATATACTGGGATCACAATGTAATACCATCATAATGTAAAATACATATGTCAGAAATATACTGTCCTAGGGTACATACTGTCAAYGCTATTTAAATAGTTATTTCTTTATAYACACTTTTCAGCGCTAAGCATAAACATTAATTTTGTAATGATTTATATTGTTTTGAATTATACCAGCAAACAAATATGGGGATAACTATTGTAGTAAGTTATATGATCCCAGCATCTGCCATGGTGTGAGCCACTGGTCCTTGAGGGCTCCATTACCCTATCAGAGGATCAACTAGTTCAAAAATTTAATGATTTGCCTTTTCCACTGCATTAATATTTTATTTTCATTAATGGTGCAAAAGCTTTGGTGGATAAAACTGCAAGCTCTTGAGCATGAATCAAGGAAGAAGCATCAAATTATATTTTTGTACTTGTTGGATTCTTCACCCCACATACTCAAAAGTAAGCAAAAAGCAATCTAGACTTAAGAATATTCTAGATGAAACATTAAAAAAATAAGATTAATCTTATGAAATCTTCACTCTTGAGTATACATCTTTCCAATTAATACACTATATTATAAAACAAGTAAGATAGTTGTTATGAGGGAAAGCACTTATCTGATAGAACTGCAAGCTGASCTAGCCACTTTTTTTCATGGAAAAGCATTTTTACTTGAAAACCTCATTGACAGACTATAGTTATTCATACCTGGCACAAATATGTTCTTAAAAATGAATAAAATAAGCTCGTTGATTTAAAAAGTCCAAATGACAGTATTTGTTGTCAATAAATTTAGGTTTTCAAGTGCAAATCAGATTTTTAGGAAACCTGTATCTACAAACAAAAGCATATAGTAAGTGAAGATTTTCTGATAAGTAGTACTTTTAAAGATGACTTTTTCTTTTGTATAATCAAAGGTTCTAATATTTACAAGGCATATAAAAAACTGATTCAATATTTTTCAAATAAACAATGTTTGATGATATGAAATAATGCATAGTAAAAATAACCAATCAAGATGCAGTATATATTAGTGGATTTTTTTTAATGTAGCAAAGTATATAAAATTTATGTGGTTTCAGATTTCACAATGCAAAAACCTTTAAGAAACTACCTCTTGATGAGTTTTGATTTAATTTCAAACAAACGTCCAGGATTATCTGTACAGGATATAAAATACCACTCTGTTTTTAATGATATGTGTGCACAATATTGGACCTTCTTATTACTTTTAAAACAGACCATTGCAACTGAYTGACTGTGGAACAAGATGAAAATCACCTAACTCCTATTATGCCTGACATTAAAGACATTTTCAGAAACATAATTACTTTTCATAAATACAGCATTTATGATAGTATTTATTAAATTTATTTTTTGATGAATTAAGAACAGTAAAATTTTCCCAGATTTAATTTCTGAAATGGTAAATACTGACAAATACAACCCACATAAACCAAAGTTCTTTAGGATTCTTAATAATTTTTTAAGATTTAAAAAAAGAGGTTTTGAGAAAAATATTTTGAGAACTGCTATTTTACAAATTTTGGAACATTTTACACAGAATAATAATTACATGATTTCATGTCATTTATCTGAATTCTGCACTTTGTATCAGGATTAGAATTGTCTCAGWAGTAGGTCATGGAAATCACATTTACCTGACATTGGCGGCGTAGAACAATGCAAGGATGGGCCAGTACATTTTCTGTAAAGAGACTACATAAAAGTAATTTATGCATATGTGTATACATATTTTTAGACATGTATACACATATGTGAAATTATTCTTGCCTTCAGGATCATACATTATTTATGTTCTTGATTCTTGAAATTAAAGCATTTTAGAAATATCTAGATATATTTGCAAATGATTCTATCAATAACAAAATTCAATATAATGAATGAAAACCAAATCTGCAAAGTGCTAAATAAGGGATACAGTACATAATATTAATATCTTTAGTATGAAGATGAAAATAGATCTCTGTATGTTTGACATGGAAAATGCCATACTGTTTAATTTCAATTTCTTTCAGAAAATATCTTATGAACAGTTCTTTTGGCAGAGCCATCTGTTCTTCATGAATCTCATTCTAAGATTTTGATTTTAACGTACTCGGCATTTAATTTATAATATTTTAATGACCATTTTAATTGGTATTTTATGTATCAAATATTTCTTCTGAAAATATTCCCTGCAAAATAATTAAGTGGGCTTAAGCTTTGACATATACATACATGCACACAAACATAATTTTATGTGGAATTAACACTATTTTATATGTACTAAACTTTAAGTAGAAAGAATAAGGCTGGAAAAGAATGAAAAACACAGATTTTACTTATACTGACATTAATAGCCTTAGGTTCAATTATACAATAAGGTATTTTTTCTTGGTTAAAATGTTTTTAATAATGAAAGTCATTCTGGCAAGAAATGTAAGCCTAATGCAAATCCAGTATTTATGAAACTGGTATTCACTAAAAATGACAATGATTGAGACTGATAATTTTCTTAAATAAAATGATGATTAGAAATAAAATGTAAAGCTGATCCCCAAATGGTGATTGTAGATAAAACCTAGGTTCTATGCCACTAAATACCTTGGTAGCATTCAAATGTTTAGAGAAAAAGTTCAATGCACAAATATTTTTTTTTGATAGGGTGGGAGTTAAGTTTACATTTGATTCTATTCTTTTTATAGATCCATGAAAATTGTTAAAATATTCATTAGAAAATTATTTTGTACTTAGAAACTGAACGAATAGCTTCTATACTTACTGGGAAAAAACCAAGCTATAGATTTTAAATAAAATTTTTTTCTGCAAAATATTACTGAAGATTTAATCTTCTACTCTAAAGAGAAACTATAAAGGAGAAATACTAATCACTTAATATTATAAATTAAAAACTTATAAAATATTACCTTGCAAGTCCAATACCAAATCCAGCGAATCTATTCAACTGTTCTAAAATAAAAAGAATAAGATTACTCATAACCAATATTGAGATTTACTATAAAAACAAATATATTTTCCTGTATTAACAGGTTATTCATTTATTCAAACTCAAACTCTGATAGGAGTCAGGGAGGTAAATTGAGTAAGTGAAGAACTGCTAGAGCTTGTGGCAAGTTGYAAGGCGTGACCTCTTAAAGGTACAATTATTTTTTAGCTCCACATGATGTTGCCACATGCAACTGAGAGTCTAGAGTTTCTGAGTTGTGATTTTTTTTCAAAAAGACAGTTTCAATTTTAGAAAAATCTTCCAAATCGTGAGTATTTACCCTGGCAACTATTTGAAAAAGTTTAAAACATTGTTTGGGACAAGTCAAACTGTATGCAGATAGAACCTATGGACTACCAGTTTTAACTTCTGACTTCAATCAATTAAAATATCATTCTATGGATGGTCCTCATACACAAACAACTTGACTTCTCAAGATGTAAAAACTAGTTATTCGCTGTTACTGATCTAGAGTACTTTGTTAGACCATTTCTTTTCAAGCAAAGCATCTCAAAATTATCWATTTGAAAGAGTATTTTGGTCACCAAAATGGATAAATACAGCTATCTTCTCCTGTAACCTAAAATTTTAGTTTGAGAGTAGCTGTTTAATTCATTCTTTGTGATAGGTTAGTAACTGTACATATGTGCTATTTCTAATGGCATTTCTGTAATGTTACTCCAGAAGTTCACAGCTGGAAACATTACTATGTATATGTCAAAAAAGAAAAAAATTTTTCTTTTACCTAAAGAACACAAAATTGATAAAGGTAAACTATCACAAACCCAGAGGACCTGACATTTAATATCAGCTATAATACAATACTTAAAAACAGTAATTATCCCCTCCCAGACTCTGCTCTTTCAAATGAAGCAACGCTGACCCTATTCCCTTAAGTGAGAAGGACAAACAACCCCATTCTTGGGGAAAATGCATCACCTTGAAAGTTAGTCAAAAACACTTCTTTTGCCATGTTAAGGATGGTTTCCTCATTTCAGCTTCTACCCTTTTATGGTACATAACGTATCCTCTATATTTCCTTTAAGAGAAAATGCCACTCACATTTTCTGGAAGGGGTTAGGAAGGTATAAACCTGCTGATAACTGTGTAAGTTTTTCAGGTGGCTATCCTTCTCATAAAAATTACACTTACCTTCCAGTAACAGCTGCAAAATAAACCCCTGCTTTTGATAACAAGCTTCTCCTCATTTTAGCCATCAAGACATAACTTAGGAAAAGATAAAACAAAYTTTACTACCCAAAAAGATAACTGTAACAATTATATATAGATTTTGAATTACTTAATTTATAACTTACAAAAGCTTTGCAGTATTTTTGTGGAACCAGYAGGACACATTGGAAAGAAAATTAGGTAGGAGTCAAAAAGTAAATTTTATGTCACTGATCTTTCATCACATCTTCAGTAGCTTATTAAACAATCATTCAAGTTTTTTTCCAGTTAAAACAAATAAAATAGTCAAGGAAATTAGTATAAGGCTAATGTGCAGAATATTTTTAATATGTGAGAATATAATTAATCTATTACCCTAATAATTCCAGGTGAATGGAATGAAATATATTTACATTTTACGAATAAAATGGGTGTTGAAAATATCTGGATCATGCAGTGTTGCAGTCAAAAATACCTCTCACTTTACTTCCTGCAAAGAATAAACGTCTTTTGACTCCAAAGTTTTATCATGTAATTGTATCAATGTTTCTAACTCTTAAGTGGATTTTTTACACCAAGAAAGCAGRAAAAAGGAAAATTACAGGAAGGAAAATTTCTAGATTAGAGATCTGAAAAACAAATAGATCTCCCATGATGAAAAGGGTAAAGGAAGAAAATGGATACTGTATTAACTACTATGTGTTCCATATCCTGCTAGACCTTATGCAAGTCATCTCAAAACTTGTAAAACACCCTATCAGGTATTCTACAAGTCTTAGAGATGAGAAAAACTAAGTCTTCCAGTTATTAAAAAAGAAGTCCAGTTTATGAGTGGCAGAGCTAGCCTTAACCCTAATTTGACAATTGTGAAAAGCTTCTCTTTCTGGAACACAAAGCTACAATTAAAGCCATTAATTAAATCGAGAAAAAAAATAATAAAAGCTGCCAAAGTGAATTAAGTAACAACAAATAACCAAATTCCTTTCTTCCTTGATTCAGATCATTGGCACAACCCCTAAAATTTCCTACTATGCACCCTATAGCTAAGGCAGRTGTCTTTTTTGGAGGTGATCCGGGAGAAAACGAATGCGTTAAGAGGGAGGAGGCTCACTTCAAGAACAGAGGACGAAAAGAGGGCAGAGGGTGTGGGGCGCGATAGGCCAAGAAGGCGCGGGGGCGGGAGCCTCTGCACAGTTTCCGGGGTCTGCGGGCTTCTCGCACCGCTCAGCCAACCCATCCACCCGCCCCGGCCTCCGGCGCGACGCCCCTCACCAGTGCTTTGCCCCTGCACGCTGGTACTGCAGCCGCCGGGAAAGGGTTCCTCCGCGGGGCCCTCGTGCGGGGTGGAGGCGGAGGGCACGCCRTAGGGCGGGCTTTTCTCTCCCCAGTGCAGGTTGCGGCTGCCGGGGATGTCTGGGGGAGTAGTCACCCAGTGGCCTAGGTCCGACCCGGAGGTGAAGGACCTGGCAGGGAAAGCGCCACCAAATCCCTGCTCGTCCCGGCCACCACCCCGGTAGCCCAGGCCATCGAATCCGTCCGGGCGCCGCGGATGCATTGCAGCAGGGGCTGAGCGAGCCCACCCGGAGCCCACCACCACCACCGGGGCAAAGGCGACCTAGGGCCGCACAATTCCCCTTCCCCGGCAGCCGCTGCGTCTGGGGGAATTCTGACAACCGGAAGTCACGACGGGAACACGGAAGTTCCTGGAGCACGTGATCATAGCTCTTCCTGCCATCTTTATAGCACGGTTGCTAGGGAAACACGGAAGCAACCTCCAGCCGATCCTCAAAATTGTCTTCTATTGCGAGGAGGTTGCAAGTGGAGTTAAAGACCGTATCAAAAAGATGCGGCCTGGATGGGAGGAAGTCAAAGATGTTTCTTTACTTTGAGAGGGAAGACTGCGCTCGCCTTAGAGCTAAGCCGCTTAGCTGTTGGCCAGAAATGTCTCGCAAGCACCTATCCCCGGGATGTTTTTTCTCACACTTCTGGTACCTCGCCAGTCCCCAGGGGGCTGGTATAAGTTAAAGCTGTTAGTACGTTCCTACTAGCTTTGTCTACCGCTTTTTTGGCTTTGGGAAAAAATCAGTTGAAAGATTTGGGTTCCCCCAGTGAAACAATATCGCTTTTGAACGAGCGTTAGGAAAGTTCAAGTGAAAATCGAGAACCACCCTCCCCCTCACACACTAAAACAAACCGCCCTCCGGGATTTAGGAATTAAGTATTTTACTTTCTAAGGCTGCAGAGCGACTGTAAACAGTTTTCCTGTTTATTTTACTTGTGCATCTAAATCACCCAGGGTATTTAAATCCCATCTATTATCATTCAAAATCGGGACCACCCCTAGCTGAACGAGGAAGACTTGTGTGGAGTCCCCTACTACCTGTTTTCATGAGCTCCATAGGCTCTTGGGGCAGAGTGTTTCTCCCTAGATCTGACCGAGTCTTGCATGGGTTCTTCCTGTGTCTCTTCTTTCCCACCGGACGCTTAGAATCCCGAGGGCTTTCAGAAGAGAACCCTGACGTACTGTTCTCAATCTTCATTAAAGTGATAATCAACTTCGTTTTGAGTGAATTGTTGTGGTGGCCAGGTTGGGTTGATTCTCTTAATTGTATCCAGTATTACTCCAGTACTAACACCAAATAACTGGACAAGGAATACCAAATTAGTTACTAGACATGACTATAAAAAGTATTTCTCTGCTCCTTAGGGATGATTGGCTCAAGGATGGGATTGTCTCGAGTCCTAAATTTACTGTTTTGTTAAAGGAAAAGCAGAAGTATCGAAGCTCTGCGTATGTGCATGTGTGTTTGTATTTTTAATATGAAAAGATGCCGTCTCACAATTTCACATCCCCATCAGCATTAGTAGAGAAAGGATGAAGTATTAAAAGAAGAACTTCTGGGTAGCCAGTTAAGGAAGAARATTTTAAAAATCAGTAAAAGTTCCCACTCTCAAATTCCATTCTGTAATGGTGTATTTTTTCTTTGTTTTTTAAAAAATTAAATACTGAAAGAAAATATTAGGTGAATATTTTTAGAGTGGACTGGAAACTTTGTAAGACTAACAGCAAAGTTAAAAACCATTTAAGGAATCAGAGGACGAGTATAATTAATTTGTATAAAATTTAAATGTCTGTTCAGCAAATGAAAAAAGAAAAACAGTTATCCAAATGGAAAGGCAAATCATGGTTTAAACAATAGGTCCTTATTTTTAGTGTAGAGTATTTACCAGTGAATAAAGTAAATCAGTAGAAATCTAGTATGAACAAACAGATTTTTAAAGAATAATAATTGCAAGTGGATAATATTCATATGAAAATTAATAAAATGCCATTTGTTAATTAAAAAAGAAATTTAAATAGCAATTGTCTTTCACCTATTTCAATGGGTAATCTGTAAAAGGGGAAGTGTGCATTATTGGGTACCAGTTAAGAAGAAAGTGTCTAGTTGGTTTGAGGAGAAATATAAATGCAACAAGTTATTGATGGAGAGGAGTTTGGCAAATCATATCAAAAACAAAACAAAAAATAATTTTTATCTTTTGACTCCTAAATCTTAGGAACAAATAATCTTGTTTATGATATGTATAATACAAAATTTGTGGTGTATTTGCTCAAAATAGAAAAAAATTATAGCAATCTAAATAGACAGTAATTATTAATATATTATTAAATGATATATCCATATGCCCTTTTAATTAAGATATGTTTATTGAGTACCTGTCTTGCACCAGGTATTATTTTAAGCAAGAGTGATAAAGTGGTAAATAAGCCAAAGTCCCTGCATTATTAGAAGTAACAGTTCAGGGAGACAAATACCAGGTTAGAAATATATTGTGTTAAATGATGAAGCAAATATATATAAAACAGTGTCAGATAATAACAATTATATTTTTGAAAACTGAGTAGTAACAAAGGTCATTTTTTGAGAATGGCATTTTTAGAATGAGCAATAACCTTTTTTTTTTTTTTTTGTACCAGGGATTAAACACAGAGGGGATTTTAACCACTGAGCAACATCCCCAGGCCCCCCCACACACCCTTTTTAAATTTTTATTTTGAGATAGGGTCTTACTAAGTTGCCTGAGGCTAGCTTTGAAATTGTGATTCTCCTGCCTCAGCCTCCCCAATGGATGAGATTACAGGCATAAGCCATTATCTGAGTAAAGTGAAAAAAGGACAAAGAACATGTGTAAATGAATATCTGGGAGAAATACTTTCCAGTAGCACTAAGCATATGACCCTGATAACAGGCTACATAGCCAGTGAAACCTATAGGAAATGAGAGCCAAGACGAAGCTAGAAGCCAGATCTCACAGGGCAAGATGGACTCACAGGGCGAGGGACTACATTTTAGGTTTTTCTTAGAGTAAGAAGTGATATGACTTTATTGATATATTAGAAGGATCAACCTGGTTTCTGTATGGGGCAAGGGTGAAATCCTCTGTATTTAGTAGGCTACTGTAAGCTGCTAAGGCTAAAGATAGTATTAACTTGATCTAGAATGGTTAAGGCAATGTGAGCTTGAAATCATGGTGTTTTTTTAAAGACTGCATTAGGGATGAATGTTCAGTGACATGAAAAAGTTTGTGTTAAAATGAAAATATTTGTAGTATGATCTCACATTTTAATAACATTCATAAAGTTACACCCAATAGAATTATATGTACAAAATGACAAGATTATATTGTGTCTGAGTGTGGGTTAACATGGTTTTATCTTTTTACTTGCATTTTCTAATTGCTCAAAAAAAACCTTAGAGTTTTTCCTAAGAATAATAATTATTTTAGTAAAAAGGAAATTAATAGAGCAGATTCGATTATAATCAGAGCAATAAAGATTACTTTATTGAATTATTAACTCTGTACCTTTTAATCAGCAACCTCTAGAACACTATCAAAGTTCTGTCATCCTCTATTTCTTCAAAATATTTTTAAACAATAATGCTGAAATAATAATTATCCAAGGTTTATAGCTTCAAACTCATTTGAGAGACTCATAATACAGGAATTAAAATATGCATTTTAAAAATGGTCACATACATTATTTGAGAATAACAGTGTAATTATTTGTATTGGCTGTCTGTTGCAGCATAACAAATAACTCACATAACAAATTGAGCAGCCAAAAGCATTTGTTATCTCATAGTTTCTCTAAATTAAGAATTTGAGAGTGACTTAGCTGGGTGGTTCTGACTCAGATCTTTTATGAGGTTGCAGTTAAGACTAACTCTGGGTAGAGTTATTAATCTTAGCTGGTTTTGATTGGGGCTGGAGGATCCCTTTCCAAGACACCTCACTCAGACAGTTGTGGAAAGAATACCTCCATTTCTAGCTGATTGTTAGGAGGTTTCAATTTTTTATCACAGGAAGCTCTTCGCAGAGCATCCTGAAAGTCCTTGTGACACAATGAGGGGCTTCTTCCAGAATAAGTGATTCCCAGAAAGAACAAGAGAGAAGCACCATATCCTCTGTATTATTCTATTCCTTGGAGGAGTCACTAAATTCAAACCTATAGTAAGGGGACAAGGATATGGCTCCGTCTTTTGAAGGGAATATTACCAAACCATTTGTGTTCATATTCTAAAAGCACCACAATATTAAACCATTATGTAAAATCAATGAATAGAGGATATTTGTAGGCATCAAAATTTATAGTTAGGAAAAAAAAATCTACTTAACTATTAACAGAATAATATAGATGAAGTTTTTTACTTTTCTCTTTAGTAAATAAATTTCATGATTTAATTTTCTTTGAAAATAGTCATGATAGCATGCTATAGTTTTGATTTGATTTGAGTGTGTTCCTCAAAGGTTCATGTGCTAGAAGGTTATTCCTCAAATTAGCAGTGATGAGAAGCGAGAAGCAGGAAACTCTTAAGAGATGGGGCATAGTTTAAAGTGCTTAGATCATTGAAGATGCTACCATCTGAAAAAAATCAGTTAAATCCTGTAAGTGATTTGTTATTCAGAGGCCACTGGATCCCTGGCCTCTGAATTCCTCTTGCTTCTTGGTTCTCCATGTGATCTCCCCTCTCATGTGCATTCCTACCCTGATGCCCTTTGTCTCCGTGTGGTGTAGTCAAGGTTGACCTTATCAAAGGCCAAACAGATGGGGCTGCCTAATCATTGACTTTCAGTCTCCAAAATTCTTTAAAAAGTACCCAGACTCAGATATATTCTTTATAAAGTTCCTATCGTCAGATATTTTATTATAGCCACAAAAACAAAGGCAAATAGAAATCCTATAATCCTAAAATAGCTAATAAATATTTTAGAGAGTCTATTCATCATTCAAATTAGCCAAGTCCAGTCAGACTCGAGTTAAAATATAAATAAAGAATAGCAGATTATTTTATCAATTTCAAGAGTTAGCACACAGTGTCATGGTCCTGACAAACAAAAGTCCAGAAAAATAGGGCACTCATCTACATTAACATTTTACCAAATTCTGACACTGAATGAATTCAACTCACTGGACAAAGTAAAAATCACCTACATTTTTACTCAGGAGTTCACACAGCAACGTTCATTAGGCAGCTACTATTTATGCACTACTCATAGTTTCAGGTATTGTGATGCCATAGTACATTATTTTTTAAGATGGAATTTAATAATACTCAAAATACTTTATTTCTAAAATAAGTTAAAATTGGATAGTTAGAAAATATTTTTAA